GAAGTACAACAACCCTCATTTGGCTTATTGGTAGCACTACAAGTACTACACTCGTTTTATGTGAATCCACACAAACTTAAGAGCTTTGTTTCTTTCGTTTATTTCATTATTATGTTATAAAGTACGCGAGCTGTAATCTAAGGCTAAGACTTTCTGAAGAACAAGCACGTCACTGCTTGACCGCGCCTACTTCCGAGAAGGAGACGCAGCCCACATTAAAACAAGGAGAAACCCGAAATAACCTTTCAGAGCAGGACTGTTAGCGGTCATCATTGTTGGCGTTCAGACGTAAGGTATGGTGTCGTTTGTTTTAACCGTCCGTAACAACCGAAAAAACAAAAACAAAGCGTCGACCCCATAACAGTGCTATATCATTGTATTTATCCGTCGTTGCTGCTAAGTTAGCTAACAATTAGCTAGCTAACGCAGCCGAAGTCGATTTAACAGTTTATGGATTTTGACCAAATTGCAGACATTCAGATGGAATCAGCATTTTTTAATCTTTCAGTGACATCTTCTTAACTCCCTGTAAGCTAAATTACGCGATTATTAATGTGATGTGTTACCACTCACTGTATCTTTTGCTCCAGGAAGACCGAGAGTAGCATACGTGACCTGCGAGAATTCACGGCCATTTTTTTCCCCGTACCTACCTGTCATTTAGTTTAACAAATGTTGATCGGCCAGCCGAAGCTATCCTGGCCTTCAAGTTGTATAATATGGAAAGACTTTAGGTTTGTTTTCTGCCGCGACAAAGGGAGAGGGGAGGCAGTATTTTCAAATATTTCATTTTTAAAACCTAAACTTGGTTACTGTTAAGGTTTTGGTTTAGGGAAATATATAAACTTTACCGAAGACCGAATGTTTGCACCTGCTACCTTCCGCTAGTTAATGTGTTAGCAGTGACAGACCTGATTCAATGGAATACCTTTGTTAGTACCAGCTATCATGACCAAGTAATATATCTCTGATTGTCTTTATTGTGTTTGCCTTTGTTTTGTACCAGAAAGGGCTCTTGAGTTTTAGTTAAACATGTCAGATCCTGTCATGGCTATTACTGCAGTCCTTCTGCTGAGCAGTCTTCGCTTTTTTGCAGTTAATGCTCAAGGTGAGTGCAGTGCGGATAAGCTTGAGACATGGTAAACACAGCATGGTGTTTGTCCTGGGTTACCCTGTTCTTAAAATTCTGTTCTCTCTTTTTTTTGTCTGTATATTTTTTGTTTTTGTTTTTTTCTTTTTCATGTACAGCTCAAGGCTGTTCCAGACCTGTTGGAGAAAACATGGATTTAAAGGGCAATGGCATCCTTCTAACTAGTTTCCCAGATGGGACCACAGTTACATTTGCCTGTAATACTGGATATGTGTCTGCAGGAGGTTCCCCAAGTGTTACTTGTACTGCTGGAAGTTGGAGTCCTGTGCGGATGAAATGCGAGAGTGAATATTAACACTTGCTTTTAAATTCAAATTCCTTATAGCAGCTGTATTTCACAGCCAGTTTAAGCACATGAGAATGAGCGTCAGGTAGAATTTACTCGCTATCCTGGTAACATTCTTAAAATTTGTGTTTAAAAAAAAAAGTCTACCTCTATAAAATGTCTTACTCACATATACATGTTACATAAACAGTAAACTATATTTGGTGAGACAATTACACATACTATCACAAAAGTCCTAAAGGACCAATTTAATCCTTATTTTTCTTGTTTCAGGGTACAACTGTGGCCCTGTGGGGGAAGCTGAAAATGGACAGATTGAATATCATCCTGGGACTGAATTTGGTGATACAGCAGTGGTCATTTGTAACCCTGGGTTAGTAATACGATGTTAGCTCTAATAAACAGTGTTTAGATAATTAGTTTTCAGATTGAAGTTAGTAGTAGCATATTAAATCACTAAAATGTTGCAATTTATCCTATTTTAAAAAACAAATAAATAAATCAGAATGAGTGTCACGTCGGGTTTACTTCGTCTTCTGTGTCATGTGAAATAAAATTTCTAAACCAACCTTTTCCCCTCGAATCAGTCATATGCCAGTTGGTGTAGGAAAGCTCACTTGTGGAAGCCAAGGGTGGATGGGCAGGTTGCCTGTATGTGAAGGTTGGTTGTCTTGTCTTAATACAAGTCACACCCCTGCTTAAAAGCTCACTGTTTGTTTTCATTCTGATAGATTTTTATTTTTATTTTCCAGTGACAAAATGTGAATCACCACCTGAAGTAGAGTATGGCTCTTTCAGTCCAAATAAAGATCTCTATGAATATAATGAAGTTATACAGTACACCTGTAAAAGCGGCTATACACGTAATGGATCAAGACAGTTGCATTGTTCGGATGATGGAACATTCAAGCCTGAGCCTCCGAAATGTATCAGTAAGTGTTTTGAATTTTTTTTTCAAAAACTTGTTCTCTGCTTTTTCTTGTGTAGTATAAATTAGGCTAATACATACTGTGGAAAAGGTCATTTTTGACAACTGCACCAATGTCTACTTTCTTTCCCTGCAGAGGTTGAATGTGAAGATCCAGAGATTTCATTTGGACAGTTGAGTAGCGGTGCTCGACCTCCATATGGATACTCGTCTACAGTCATATTACAGTGTAACGGTGGATACACAATGATTGGATCTGCTACTGTGATGTGTGAGCTAAATGGTCAATGGTCACCTGGACTTCCTCGGTGTATACGTAAGTCATAAATGAAAATATTTATTTGCATTTACTGAGTTCAATCGGATCATGATCTCTTTGCTCTAAGTGCAACCTCACCCCCAATTCTGAGCCTAAGTCCTCCTGCTGCATATTTTTTATAAATGCTTAATGGCAGTTTACCTCTACTACGAGGTTTCTTTTGAAGTGGACGATTCGTCTACTTCCAGTATCTTGTCATAGGCTAGAAAAACATGTTGGTTGCAAAGTGTTATAATTCAAGCTTTTCGCTAACTGCTCAAAGCTGGAGCTTGCTGGCTTGTGCTTTCTTTCTTTTTCTCATTCATTCAATGCATGGATCTTGGCAGCTAATTCGTGATTTCTTGCATCATTATATTTCAATAATGTAAAGAAAATATTCAGTTACATGATTAAATTAAAGCATTTACAAAAGATTATTCTTCAGCATTTTTACTCAGCATTTTTAAATATAAATAATCAGTAACATACATAAAGCTAATATTATGCATGAACTGTTCCTGTTGGGAAAATTTGATTCAATTTTTCCAGTTCCAATTGGTAACTGATACCCTGGCTCTGGGTATATGACCACATGATTTACCAGGGATGCACCTCTCTGATTTGTGGATATTGATTCGATTGACATCTAATGGCAGAACTATTATAGCATGAAGCATGATCACCTAATCAAAGCCACAGCAGTTTAAAGGCTTTTCATGCCAGCTTCACCAATTGCTTCTCTTTGTATGCTTTTAAAGTTATTATTACTTAACTGCAAAATTGATGAAAGTGAACTGAGATAACTGAGAAGATCAGACTCTTTTGCTCAATTGTTTTTACGCTCTGTTTGGTATTATATGAATTAAGAGTCAGAGGGACATTGGTTTGGTTTGCACAGGAAACTTAAAAAAAAATATATATATAGTTAGGAAAGCTAAGTATATCACTGTATTGGATATAAAAGAATGATTCCCAGTCTTTTCTTTACAGAAGGATTACAAAATATTGATTTAAAACCAATATCACAAAATACCTAGAGTTACTCTGTCTGTATCAGATCTCAACTGGTAAGAGCGTGATAAGTGTTCCCTCTATTGAGTGTGTGTCCAATACTAGGGGTGGGTTTAAAAAAAAAAAAAAAAAAAAAAGATTTTCCCTTTTCAAACCAATTTTAGTTTGAATAATGTGATATCTATTCATTAAATCCTGAATCGATTTTTAAATATAAATGTATTTTGTCAGAAATGCCAGAATCTCAGGTTAAAGCTCACAAAACTATTTCAGTTAAAACAACAAATGAGAGCAGGTAAAACTTAACTCAACCAGCAGCAGAAGAAGATCCAAACTGTTTCACGTTTGAAAGACATCATCATGAATTCTCTCTTACTTTTGCTGTTTTGCTTCCACCATGATAAAATCACACTTACTGCACAGCTCTCTCTCCTTGTGTACTTTAAGACCAATTTCCCATCAAAAATCAGTTTTCTCCATTATTCGCTGGCTTATTACACACTTGTCTACTGTTGTGTACAGTGTGCCGGCCGCAGGTTTGTTTGTTTTTTTCCAATACTGACGAAATGTAAACTTACAAATGATGCCAAATCGTAAAACACTTAGCTGTATTTCTAATAAAACCTCTGTAACTTTGCTCTTCTTCAATTCAGCAGCATCGGGTAATGTTAATCTGCTGATTTATGGTTTCCTTCTGTTTTTGATCTACTGCAGAATATTTTTAAGGAGGTTATCTGCTATGAAACGCCAGGCCAGGAAAATCTCCTTCATATTTTTGTTTTATCCTCGGTTACTTTAACACCAAGGCATCTGCTGTGATGCTTACACCTCTGATGAAATCTCACAAGTGTCAGCTTTGTTTTTATACAGAGATATAAAAATATGGATATGTAATGATAAATGATCAGAATTATAATATATTTGTTACTGAGTCAAAATTGAATCGAATCAAATTGAATCAGAATCAAAGCAGTTATAATAAATTGAAATCGATACCCAACCCTATTTAAAAAGCTGTATTTGTCACTTTGGGGACAACACCAGGAACCATTATCTATAAGGGAACATCCGGTTCGTAATTTTGTGAAATAAAATCTGCCCAATAAATATTATTGATATATGATTCTTAATCCATATTCTTTTTACATTTATGGCTGTAATTATAATAAATGGCATATCAGTTTATCTGATGTGTTTGAGAGGCCAAACAGGGAAAGCATTGATTTCATTGGAACTTTTAACTCACTTGGAAGCAAAACTATTCCTAACCTACAAACAAAAGGTCTTGTCATGTCAAGTTTGAAATATCTATAAAGCTGCGGTTGCTTGCATGTTTCCATTGTGTTGTTTTAGCTACCTAGCTGTCCTCCTAGAACATCAGCACACTGCTGCTGTTGTAAACAACCCAGACTTAAACTGAGTGATCTTTGTCAACTGTTAGGCTATTGCTAAACTGTAGTTTGAGAAAACTGTAGTTTGGCTATAGATCGGCTTGTTGTCGCAGATATGCAATCAAAATTTATTCCAGGCTTTTGAGTGAGGATCAGACCAATGTCCCATCCTTTCCAATCAAATAGTTGCATCTCTAGTTGGGATTTTACACATCCCTGCTGACTTACTTTTTGTTCCTGCAGCAAAACCCGCAACAACTACCACTACAACCACTACGACCATAACCACTACTAACCCTTCTACCCCAAAGAAACCAGCAGGTACAGTTCATTTTAAAGCTCATAAAGATCTCAATATCCAGTTTTCCTCCCTTTTAGCAAGGTTGTGCATTTGATTTTTCCCAAAGAGCACATGAAGTTCTGGGACTACTATTGCCCATCCCTGCTTTATATGTTGCCACAGCAGATCATAATCCTCTACAGTGGCTTGCAAAAGTATTCAGCCCCCTTGAACTTTTCCACATTTTGTCACATTACAGCCACAAACATGAATCTATTTTATTGGAATTCCACGTGAAAGACCAATACAAAGTGGTGTACACGTGAGAAGTGGAACGAAAA